GGAATTTGAGCGGGGTTCTCTCTGTTTACACTCTTTAGTATGACGCACTTGACATAGATGGTCCACAGCGACTCAAGAAGAGCTACTGATTCCGATCAATAGCGGGGCGGCTTCTTCCTTCTTCTATGGATACTCATGTGGGCTGTAGCTCGCTGCTTGCAGGCAGCCTTTCGTTGCATACTGGAGAACACCACCACTCACCACGAAGTGATTGAATAAACACCGTTTGGTGAGACCGGATGGAATTCAACTTTGAAATCTGTGTTAGGGAAATCGCTTTTCGCAGGCAATCAGTTATAATTTTAACTATCGAAGCAACAGTTGCACATTCGTGCAATTTTCAATAGTGACATTTTAAATTTAACAGATGTGTAGAAATATATCTGATCGATTGGTGATAAAATTATTGAAATTAGTCCAGGGGCAGCTGAGTTATTAACGTTCAAAATCTTTCGGTTTTCACAAAGTGTACCCCTATATAGAAATCATAGACGTAGTCCTACCTTAAAAGGTATTTCCCATACATTTTTTACCTGCTTTACTACCAGAGAGCCAAAAAATTCAAATTTTAGAGACAAAATCACTCTCACGATATCAATATCTTGAGATGCCATGTCTTTTAATGGCACTTGATTTGTGATTTCCCTCTCACAGACTACAAAACAGAATACCTGACACTGCAAAAAATGTCTGGTTCCTCTATACCTATATGTATTTCAATCAACATCCGAAGTCCCTCCTGTTTTTACATATTCTTCACAAAGTATGCTGTGCAGAATATGTAAAAAGAGAGGGGCTTTGGATGTATTTTTTGTGCAGAATATGTAAAAAGGGAGGGGCTTCGAATGTAAATCTAAATGCATGTATAGAGGTAGCAGACCAGTTTTGCACTACACTGTCCTCTGTCAACAATTAACGGAGTGAACAATTGCGTAGTTTCAAACAACAGCAGTGACATATGAAGGAAAATGAATGCAGAAGCTTGACAAAATGGTTAATTGGTAAATCATCTTTTTGGTGGTAAAATTAATATTGGCGCCCCGAAAAAGACGGTTTTGTGTGAATTTTGTTCACGCGGGTTTTGCTTCTTAGAAAATTTATGAAAATTAACTCTTTTAGAGGAATTATTTGTGTCGCCCTGAAAAGGACGCTTTTGGTTTGATACGCATCGTCGTCTGTCGAGTTGCAGGCAAATTACCCGGCTTTTTGCCGATGAACAACACGCACTATATCGTGACGTCACTTATCACAGGTTCGTATTCTTCTGGACGCAGCAACGCGGTTTGATGCACATTACCGGGTTGTTCGATCTTTGCCGTGATTGGAGAATTCTGAGATCTCCACGGATACGGTGAGCTAGTTTGAGCTTGGGTGAGCTTCGACATGATGATAACGTGCTTGATGACGGTGGCCCACAATGCTTTATCACGATGAGCAACTGTACCAAAACAGTGACAGTGTGCCCGAGCAAAGCTGTAGATCAAATCGAAATCACAATTTGCTGTTATGATGTAACTTATTTTGAATACTCCAGTTGATCTCATTTTGGTTGACTTTAACGGTTAACACAGCAAAAATGAGAGCAAACTTTTACACTGTTGAATCAAACGGAAAACTAATCTTGCTCTCAATGAAATCAATTTGATTTCTGATTTTGCATTCATTATGTTTAACGAAATACGGGCCTGGCGTAAATCGTAAGCATCCATGCTTCTCACGCTGAAAGACTTGAGCTCAAATCTCACCCCGGGCAAATAACGAATGACCTAAAATGTGTTAAACAAAACAAATAAACAATAAGCGTTAGTGCAACGACAGATGAGCTTAAATTAAATTTTAAACAAGACGTGAACAGCAGAACTTCAAGTTAAGTTGCTTTCATTTAAAAAGTCTTGACTGCATAATGAAAGCACAATATGATATCAGACTAATGTCGTGACAATTGAAATCAAAATGAGTTTTCATTATGATAGGAACTGCAAACTTTAATATAGATTTGCTTTCATTTTGTTAACCGACTTTGCTCGGGTGGCTTCATCACTGCTACTCTGTCAGGCAGCCTTGGCAGCAAGCTGCTTGTGGAGCCTTTCGAACACGTCTGAAGTTCGAAAGGAAATGCGGCAACGGCTTGATTCGTTTGGGACCAACTATGTGATGTCTTTGTTAGGAAATACACCTTATTGTGTAAGCAAATGTATGGGAAATTTTGATGCTACAAATTTTAGTTGAATTTCTCAGATGTTTAACTATTTGCACTATTTGTACTATATGCCACAAAATTGCTGGAGTAAGCCTCCGTCGATTGGCATATTGCATGACATATTTCACACTAATGCTTTGGAGATATATGCGTTCAAAACCGGACCCTTTTTCGTTACATGCTTATTTTTCGTACTCGCTAAGTGTACCTCAAATAGAAAACAAAGACGTAGTCCTACGTCAAAAAAAAAAGAGAATGATTCAACTTGACTCAGGCTCTGAGTTGCTTTCGACGGGCGTGTACTGGTCCTACACTCCTCTACGGCTGAGCTTACCACACAATACGATATACGACCGAACGACTGGTGATGACCACATGGCTAAGAAGTTCAAATTTGAAAGTAATACAAATGACTCATTCCGATATTCCAACCCGCAAATCATTTCAGATAAAATTGTTATTTTACGTCTAAGACAGACGCAAATTGAAACAACAACGTACTATGTGAATGCTAAATGACAAAACACTTTCTCAAATAAAGTAGTTTACAGTTCCAAGCGAAGTGAAATTTTTGTTAATAACATTTTTCACGGAGGTGAAAAATCTTGTTTTTTTTTATTTCAACGCAAATAATGTCTCCGATGAATAAATTTGAAATTATAAATAACTACACCCAACGAAGAAATGTAAGATTCTATTACAGATTTGAAAGGTATACAGAATTTACAATGTTTAACGACATGAACAGATCCTGCAATGTGGTCGCAGGAAGGTTTTTAAAATTAATTTGTAGTTTTTATGACAGCTTATTTTTCGAGCAAAGTTTGTTTCCCCAAATGCAATGATTCTAGAAAATCATCTTTATACTAAGATATGCATTATGGACAAAAACTTGCTCGTACGCTGCATCCCATTGCAAGAACTGCCATTACAGTTGTTGTATGAAACAAATGCAGAGGATGTAATAAATCCAACCTTACATTGGATGTAAGAGAAATGCGTGAGCTATCAAAGTACATACGTCTTCTTCTTCTTCATTTCTAGCTTATTGCATAGTTTATTGCATGCTCTCAACTTAGTGTTCTAGATGCACTTCCACAGTTATTAATTGAGAGCTTTCGATGCCTGTACCATTTTTTTTTGCATTGGTATAATTGTGTGACAAGTCCAATCATACTTCTATGCCCAGGGAAGTCGAGAAATTTTCCAACACGAAAAATTCCTAGACCGGACCGGGAATTGAACCCAGCCACCTCCAGCATGGTCTTGCTTTGTAGCTGCGCCTTTACCGACTGAGCTAAGGGAGGCTCCAAATTACATACACCAATTTTGAAATAAGCAAATGTCACATCGGTCAGCCATTTTCGTTGGAATGTAGTGGAAAGAAACATGCGTTACCTTAATAGACATGTACGGTTGAGGAACTTCCCACATAGGAAGCCTTCCAAAATCGAAGTTCCTTGGCGTTTCCTTATAGCCCCATATGTATAAGTAGGTATATGCTTTGCATGCTACATTAAAACATATTATGTGTGAGGTACCTACCTATGTAAAACGAGACTGTCACTTGCGAGTGCATGAGAGCTGCATCGTTATCGTCCTGCCAGGCCAGTATTTGCTCGCTCACCCTGCCTATTGGGGTTTCCATTCCATTCCACAGAAATGCGTAATCTGATACGGACTCTGTTGTAGACATAAGAAATAAAAGGTTGGTGAGTTGTGATGGAAAGCGTAAGAATGCAGGGTAACATGTGAATTTCGATGGCTGTGGTTTTCTTGTCTTCGCAATCACGTCACCTTCATTAACAGCCTGATTAACATGGAAATTTGCTCGTTTCGGCCTTTCAATTGTTGTATAGAAGAGAGTTCCAAACAAGTTACGAACCGCCATAAGAACTATCAGGGCAGACACAACCTAAAAGTTCATGGAATCCCTTCACTTTGCGTTTTCACTGGCACTAATCTCTGCTTTTTAAAGGTGTGTATTCGCGAGAAATCGACGGCTAAAACTATTGTTTACAAAAGCAATTACACCCCTTTGAAATGCTGACACTGAATTGTTTGTTGGGAGCCAGTGCCGGTGGTGTAGTGATAAGCGTGACTGCTTTCTCACCCCAATGAGTTCAATCCCAGCCGAGGTCGGTGGGATTTTTCTGAGGCAGAAGAATCTCCGGTCACGTCTTCCTTCGGAAGGGAAGTAAAGCCGCCAAATTGCGTATCAGAGACCGAAGTTAAATGAAGGGAAAAAAAACTTGTTGGAGTATTCTTATTATTCATATTTCTTAAACGCGATTTATGACCAATGACAGTTTGGAGCTGAGAACATGAGATATTCGTGTAAGTAGGGAGACCAACCTGTGGAAACTAATGATTTTAAATTGGCTCACTACTTGACTAGCCTATTGGCAAATCAATCTTTGCAAAATAAAAGCATTTTAAGATTGCATTTGTATACCTCCCCGTGGAAAATTTTTAAGCTATCATCACTTTCATAGTTCTTCTATTCTCCACGAGTGCCAACTTTGATTTGCCAATTGATCCCAAGCAAATCGATTAACGTACCCCATTCTAGTCAAAATTCTAGTACTACACAATGTTTGTTTTGATTCGCTATGAAAGTTTGACAGATAAAATGAGGGGTTCGTGGATTTTCCTTTGTTTCGAGGGATGCATCGATTAGCTTGGGACCGAAGATAGTAGCACAGCTGAGCCAAAAAGTTGAGCACGTTTCTTCGGGACCTACTAGTCTTAAAGTTACCTCTATGGGGAAACGTTCTTTCAAGCAATGAGAATACCGTACTAAGAGAAATTTACATTTTATTGCTCTATGCTAGCACTTGGTGTACAAAAATACAGCTGAAACTGGCTGGTTGTTCTTCCGCGTCATGAGTTCAGAAAGTTTCTCCATCCACGTATTCATAGTTTTAGATTCGACGTTGAAAAAGTTTATGTAAACGCTAATTATGGTAACCTCGTGGCTTACAGAGGAAAACTATTCCACTCATGAAGGATGACAAATGCCCGCTGCTTTATTCAGCTAAAAATTAATACTCCTTCTTGTACTCATTTTTGATTCTACCCTACCAAATAGCTATCACTCGTCGTTAATATGTGTGTGTGTGTGTCTTTTTCTTGTGAAACAATTTTACTCATCTACCCTTCGTATGCGGTTCAAAAATTTCGTTAGTCACTATACAATCTAAGAAACCAAACTTTCAACAAATTACTTTTTTTAAAAGACAAAAACAATGTAGTTGCTACATTCGTAAAACAAAACCCTGATCAATTCTTTTTGGGAGCACCATCGCAGACGGTATATAGTAGAAGCCTCTATACGACTAGTTGACCTTCTTGTCCACCGCTTCTCGCTTGGTGGGAGCCACCGCATTCCACACCTTGTCGATAACTTCGGTGAAGATGATCGTCCCCGTGAAGACCAGCAGCGTTCCGATCCAGTGGTGGATGGTGAACGGATTGCTAAAGTAGACGATCGAAAACAACAGCGAGACGAACTTCCGTAGCGTGACTACCAGCGTTACGGTCAAGGAAGTGCACTCTGTCGTCAGGACATACACGGAACTGATGCAGATGTACTGCGTGAGGACATTTCCGAGGAGGTACACCCACATGATCGGGATGCCGATGTTCAGGATCGGCACGTCGTACAGGGCGCTGGCGTTGGCTATTTTGATGTGGTCCCAAATGTTGGTAGTCAGGAGCAGGAAGAAGGGCAGCGGAAGGAGATGCGTGTAGAACAGAGCTTCCTTCGGGTGTTTGCCGTAGCGTTTGTAGAGGACTTCCTGGTAGATTCCCATCCGGGCGGACACGAAGAGGGCAAGCGTCAGGAGCGATATTCCCACAGCCCACCAGAAGAACACGGTCACCGGGTCTTCTTGCTCGGCGTTTTCCACCGTTTGGGTGCTCTTGACATCCTTACCGGAGATGATCGTACAGATGACGATCCCGGCGCTGATCATTCCAACGGACAGGTATTTGGAGAGAGCGTACTGCTTCCGCAGGATGACGATTCCCATGATCATGTTGGCGATCAGCGACCCCGCGCGGAAGATCATGTGCAACGGCATCGGGATGTTGAAATCGAAGGCATAGTTGTTGCACACGCTGGTAACGAAGAACATGGCCACCAGGATGAGGTAGTCCTTGAGACCGATCCGCGGCTTGACGGTGCCGCATTTGGACGTGTTGATGAACCCTTCCAAGGCGATGAAGAGGAACTGCAGGAAGGTGATCAGGTTGCCCGAACCGGGATCGATCCTGGAAGGAGGGTAGAAGATTTAGGCATTAGCAGGCTACATAATGTTTGAAATACGGTTTGTTATTGATCGCCCGGTAAAACTGGTTTGATGGTGCTCTGAAAAGGGATCGGAAGTGTTTGAAGTTGTAGCTGAGAAAATTCCCTCAATTTTCAAACCAGAGCAATATGATGAATTGCCAGTGGTTTGTGCCAAGTCAGTTTGTTACTAGAAGATTAAAAAATTTGGGAGGCTAATCAGAACCCAATTTGGAACCATTTGACTACTGTTGAGCGAAAATTTCAAATTTTGCATCAGTCTAATTAATGAACAGTCATTCCATCGTGGATTCTAAAATCGTTTGTTGGTAGAGGAAATTTCCTGCACCACGAAGTAGACAATCTTCGGTTTCTACGCTTTACCAACGTTCAAACCACCTGTGACAGCGATGACTATGTTTCCACCTTGTTTGTCAGCTCAGATCAGTAAATGACGTTCGATAGAATTATTTACATCATTGATTTGGATGATTTGCATTATGGGGCTGAACCGATACAATATGCACTTCAATTTAGGATGACAATCATTCTACAGAGAGCATTGCGCATTTCAACTGAGGTCCATTCCCTTTTCGTTCATCCTGTATTCGAGTGGAGCATCATTTCTGATTCACAAAACAACCGTCAACCGGTTGCAGCTATCATTCGATGTTTCAATTTGAATGGTCTGAGGTTTCATTCTAACAGAGGATGATGATTTGGTACAGTGTAGTTAGATGCGACTTCGGGTAGCTTGAGAGTCGTTCCAGATTGTACAGTTGCGGGCGTCGGTATCGAATGTTGTTGACAAGGGAATGTCTTTGGCATACTTTTACCATCACAAGGAAGTGGTTGGAATCGATGTTTGCGCCGCGGTAGGTCTCCGAAAAGTGCCTTCCATCAATCAAAACGTGGTCGATGTGTGACTTTGTCTGTTATGGTGATCTCCAGGTGTACCGATATGGGAGACTATGCGGGAATTAATTTTCGATGTCGGGCAAAAAAAAGTCGTTTTCACCTTGGAATAGAGCGTTGACTGGTGGTATCTTGTATAACGGGTTTTTAGAGTTTTTTTTGGTTGGCAAGCATCAATTTCGCAATTTGCTACCCCATAGATTTCATAGATCAATTATGGGACCTATGTTCTTATCGGTAAAGCCATGACTTTCCATTTCGCTTTGTCAGCTTCTAAAAACAAACATAAAGTGATTTTTATTTGCAAATGTTGATAAGCTGTAGTTTTCCGAAAAATGCTAATCAACTATCCTGTAATTGATTCGATGTTGATTTCTACGCATAGCTGAATTTAAGCTAAAACCGGCTTAGCACAAAACATGGATCAACCATCCATATTTATATTACGTAACACAGCACATATTAGCCGCACCCGTTAGAGAGTGTACCTTTAACAGCCTTTAGGCATTCCTTACGTCACACCTAAAGTACCCAATTATGTGCATTGACAAATGTCTACTTACTTGACCAACAGCTCCAGAAACACCACATTGCTGCAGCATCCCACGAAGACCATCACAATCGCCAGTGCGGCACTCATTTTCGCCGATGTTTTCTGTTGACGGAAGTGTAGTCCAAAGTCAACCTCTACTCCTCAACACCTGTGCCGCCTGCTGCGTTTAACGACCAAGCCTCCACGCACGCACGCGAGGCTTACTACGATGGAAGAAACAGGAAAAGAAAAAAAAAAACAACGTTGTACACACAACGAAAATTAATCGTTGCATTCATTTGTCATAAATGAATTTTTGCCAAAACATCAGCTTAATACTTTCTATTTGGAAAATCACATACATCCTTCCGTTGATTAGTTGACTTATGAATATAATTAATTATCAACTAAAGAAATTTGCCAAAAAGCTTTATAGGATTTCTATCCGTGTAGTAAAATCCAGTTCCAGATTCAAGTTCAAGTGGACGGCAGTTCAGTTGCTGCTGTACCTTCAGTTAACTGCGGCATGCTGACATACTTCCCCGTCGATTATATTTGAGCTTGTACTTGTCATTCATGACTATTGAAAAAAAAAAACCTGTTTTAGAGGTTCGGTCCCATTGCCAAACAAACACATCCCATTGTTGGTAGGGGTTGTTTGGTCTTGTGCAATATACTAAATCTCAGATCCATCCTCATCATTCATTCCCCACACCATTAAGACATTTGAAGCATTCGAGTGCCGATTGCAAAGTCATTCTAGTCGGTACAATGATAACAGTAAAAGCTACTAAACGTGATTTTGATTGCACTTTGCTTATGTAAACATTCTCGCCTACCTTGCAAACAGATGATTTTAATGAGTTCACTTGTCAAAGTTTGAAACGAAGTAAAATTGAATGAAATTGAAATTGCCGCATTGCTAATTGACAATTTTGGACACGCACGAGTACACACACATTAATAGAGATAGAATTTTCCCACGCGAGTTTCAGTACTTACCTAAGTCAACGCGAAGAAACTACTGCCGAAATAGACGAGCGATCGGCACCGCGCTAGTGACTGTAATGCGGTAGTGTTGTTTGATATTTTTATGTGTTCGGGTTCGGCTTCATTGAATGTGCGATGTGCAAAGTAGGTTTGACGTTTCCCGTGTTTCATTGAGTGCCGTCTTTTTTAAGTGAGTGTGTATGTGTTGAAGCCGTCCGCAAGGGGGTTTAACTTATAGATACTCATAGCAATAGACCTGCCAAATGTGAGCTGACGTTTTCAAACGAACTGTCAAATCGTATAGAAAATGTTCGTTTTGCATACAACATGGCGGCGGTATATTGGCGAGAGTGTCTAGTTTATCTGTGGTGGCCCCTGTGGCAAAGTTGCTTTGGTTTTAATAGAGTAAATAGCGTTTGAGGATACATTTAGGCGATTGGTGATTAGGGATTGGTATGTGCAAATTATCATTTGGATGGATGAATTTCAAAATTAATCGAATTAGCACGACTGATAGCGGATTAGCCATTCTAACTTGAATTGCAATGAAAAATTCCGTTGGCTACTGTTACTATATGCTTAGTTCCTATTATGGAAGTTCATACAATTAACTAAAGGGGTATTGAAATAAGTATCTATAAGATTTCTAACGATGTACCTATCTAAGTTTATCGTATTACAGTTAACTCTCGATATATCAATTTTCTATATCTCGAAATGTGACCACTTTAGTCTATGTCTGTATTACTGTTGAATTTGCTTCAGTGGATGGAGAACTAACACGAAATACCTAAACGTGCTACTAATTAACGTGGGCGGTAAGGTTTAGAGCTGGATAATTTACGGAAGTTTATTCTCTCACGGAGACTCAATGACCCAAAGCTGATAGTGATTTTCCGAACACTGCTATTGGCACTGATTGATGATTCTTTACTGTTAATCCTTTCCATGGTTCAACAATATTTCAATTTTGTGAACCTGTTTTACCCACCATCTAGAGATCTTAAAAGAAATTCTATAGCGTAGAAATATAGTGGCCCTGAAAAAGGCTATTCGGGATCCACGATATTGACATGCTGGTACTTTCAGGATGGCGTGCTTAAACCATTGCACAGCTGTTGCAATTTTGCAGGTGATCAATGTTGTAGTCAGCCTAACGGAACGACTGCAGTGGAACGTCCGAAAGATGGGGAAGCTACTCAAAGAGCCTCTGATGTCCGCGTCCTTCAGGGTCCTCCACTACCATTTTGGATCGAAGCGAACAAACTGGTGTACTTGGGTATCTCCAGAAACAGCGGCCTCAGTTGGTAGCAACATTACGCAGGTGATCATTGTAGTCAAACTCAGCTGTGTAACGTTCGAAGGATGTCGTTGCCGTTGGTAATGCTTTTAAATCCGATGTCCGCGTCCACTTTATGGGTCTTCCAAATTAGTTGTGTCGGCTGTTCCCACAGCTAATGGAATTGCAACTGATTACGTTCACTGAATTACAGGGGCTTATTACGGATGTCACTTCACGGAGAAAACTTGTCACTTGTCGTCACGGTGAAGTGATTTCCATTTGATTTGTACGGTAATCACTGCTCTTATTCTGAGTATCACTTCATTATCACCTTTTAGTGACATCCGTAATAAGGCCCACAGTCTGTTTTATACTTGCAGAATAGCTACCCAAGCAGAACACTTCGATCGAAATAAGTTGCTCCAACTTGATTGCGACTGGAATAAGTGGCACACAACACAATTGTTCAGTGACATGTGTGCCGCTAGGGTAATTATGCCCCTCCCTTTTTGGGAGTATTCCAGGGGGTAAGTCACTCTGCCACCTTGTGACTGTGCTGATTGTGTTTCTTGTGTGTTTTTGTGTGTTTCAGGGTGTTTCTGTGTCGAATGAGCTGTCAAAACGTCAAGCGGCAACATACAATGTTTACTGGCAACCATGACTTCCACATCGCTGAAAATGACAGATCCCCCTGCGATCGTCGTTGTTTATTGGCGTTGACGGTGACTCCAGGGTGGCCAGACCTACCGATTTATCGGTAGTCCTACCGATTTTCGGGGTGCCTACCGATTCACAGACGAAAGGTTCAAAACTACCGATTTTTCACTTTTCCTACCGAGAATCACAGATTTTTAGATTAAACGCTGTCCAGACTGGAGAGTTATAACATGTTATAACGGTTGTCAACTAATTCCAACACAGAAACCACCATCAAGATAGCGCTATAACATGTTATAACCATAGAGGTAACTCTAAGACCACTGGGTCCCGAAGAAAATCATTATTATTTTTGGGTCACTCAGTACCAGAACAACGGTCCCAAGCAGTCCCAAGCTATTTCACTCACCCCTGCATGTTCTGCATGAATCCACACACCCCTGATGTTATCTGTCAAACTTTCATAGCGAATCAAAACAAACATAGTGTAGTAATAGAATTTCAACTAGAATAGGGTACGTTAATCGTTTGCTTGGGACCAATAGGCTACTAAAGTGGTGAACCAATTTAAAATCGTTAGTTTCGTATTGATTGTTGTTATAACTCTGTAGTCTGAACGTACTATTATAAATAGAAAAATTGATTTTGAAACGTTTAAAGCAAAAGAACTCAAGGACAGTGTATTGTTCTGGATCACAGAGTCATCCCCGTCCGCTCACAAAAGTTTCAAGTATCGGGAAAGTCTTCTTAAGTCGACCTACCGATAACTACCGATAAAAGTTTTGAGAAGCTACCGATAATGAAAAAAAATAATCTGGCCACTCTGGGTGACTCTGTATACAGCTATAGCTCTTTACTCCTATGGTAAAATCCAATAAGCAAACGACAGTCTGTGCGTGATACATATGGCGGAATTTGTACTATCCTTTCACTGACCCGAACATTCCCATAAGTCGTAAAAGAAGAGACGATTTTTCGACAGTGCCATCGACGTCAATTTTTCGGATCAAAACAACGGGCAGGAGGATTATTAATCCCAACAATACAACCGCGGTCTGTGACCACCATCCGGTTTTCGGAGGTAAGTGTCGTAGTGATTTAATCGACCTACGAGATTTAAAATCGAAATTGATTTTTTTTTTCTTCTTTGTTTTCAGCTGCGTTGGCCTGCAGACCGAAGAAAATGGGGAACAGACGGATTGATTAGGCTGCTTAGTGCCTCCGCGGTGTTTCTGCGCTGAATGACCATGTAAATGTCCTGGTCACCTCCTTGCAATGTTTCAACAAGTGGCCAGTCGTCATCCTTGGGAGGTTTGATCTCTATCATCGCCATCAGTCCATCGGCCTCTGCTTCACGATGTGTCTTCTTAATTTCAGAAAATTACCGAACAAATAACAAAACAATATTGAAAAATGTGATTATGGTCCCATATGGAAAAAGCAGACATTGAGAAAATGTCCGTTGAAGTGCAATGCCCAAGTAAATATTTGAAAACATCATACTATTCATCATCATATTATTTGAGGTTTGGGTTTGATTCAACAGATGAGTTCTTAGCAATAAGGTAAAGGTAAATCCAGTGTGTGTTGTTCTCTGGCTTGGTCCACGTTCATCCGTATCGCAGTTCGACAGGAGGAGCGCTCATTTCTTCATATAGTTACGGATAATCTAGCTCATTAGAGGCTGAAATGGTCTGCTTTTATAATGTTGAGCTTGACGTTGAATCGTCATCCCCAATTGCGGGAGTCATCTTTGCAGCAATAGAGACCCTAAAGATGATGTAAGGCATTTCGAGTGTCCATATCGGAAAACGGGACATTTCACTTTAAAAGGATTTTTGTGTTTAGGCTACCGAGTGCTTCAAACAATAACTATTGCATCAGTTTAAGCAGAAGAAGTAGTAATTTATTGCATCTAAATACTATGATTTTTACGTCAGCGTTGCGATTTTACACACGTACACACATTAATTAAAAATATCAACACAGTTGGAATAAATTAAGCAAGCAAAAGCGTGCAAATGTTTGATTATTTCTGCTCCAGGCATTCATCGGCATTGTCGATCGAGTTCCTGGGCGTCGGAAATGCCCGGTGCTGTGGCGGCAGCTGGTTCTGAGCTCGCATCACTTTCCTGACACTCCCGAGCGCTTTCCACCTTGTCACTTTCTTCGGCACTGGCCACGACTTCCAGCGCTTGATCGGCGGCACCGGCGTCTTCGTCGCCGATAATGATCTCCTCCGGATCGGGAGCTCGCGGCAGGAACTCCTCGTCCGGGTAGATATCCTTAAAGATCGAACGTGCTCGCGCTATGCTTTCATCGTAGTTCAACTCGTAAAGCGGACCGCAGGCCAGATGGATTCTTTCCGGCAGGGAGCCGGACGGATGCTGGCACGCGGCGCATTTCGGAATGTTGAAGTACAATTCGTAGAGGATTGTTGATACGTTATTCTCCGGTGCTTTCTTGTATTCCACAAGCTCTTCCGGAGGTATGAAATAATCTTTTGAGAGACACGTAGGGTTCCCTCGGGTCACCGCTGATGGATTTTGTCGTCACGTGGATGAGATCCTGAAAACAATCAAAATAAATTATAAATTGTCCACACGCCTAGGCAGACCTGATTACTTACAAATGTCCTTCGGGCAAGTGCCACTAAAGTGTGCCAACTGGATAATGGTAGCCCCATCTTCGTGCCCTTCCATGGGGGACAGCTTCATCAGCGACACGCCACCTCCACCGGAATTCTACGATGCACCACCCAACGGAACATTCGTCAAAAATATAGCACGTGCCATTTGACCACAGTGGTCCTTTCGCTTCTCTTCCCTCGAGTCTTCCTTTACTCCGAAAATCTCCTTCTCAACGTACCAATGCCCTATGACCAACCCTTTGGCCTCTATCATCTGTATGCCGAACTTTAACGATTGATAGCCCCTTGATAGTCATCTCACTTTAAATTAATACTCTCGATTGGCTTACCCAGACAATAAATCCCTCCGAAAACGGCGCACAGCCGGCAGAAACACGGCGGAATCTCCTCGCATCCGTACATCAAAAACAGAAACGGGATGTTTCTGTATCGACCCAAACTAAGCAGAAACTTCTTCACCCCTTCCCGGCAGCTAGTGTGGTCATTCCCCATGGCGATTGTGTACAACAAGTAATGG